GGAGCGCAGCGATGTGCGGTTCCACCCACACCGGATGCAATGCCACACTCAGGGCCCTGTGGATGCCAGACCCGCACTCCGAGCTCAGCGTAGGAGCGCAGCGATGTGCGGTTCCACCCACACCGGATGCAATGTCACACTCAGGGCCCTGTGGATGCCAGACCCGCACGCTGAGCTCAGAGTAGGAGCGCAGCGATGTGCGGTTCCACCCACACTGGATGCAATGCCACACTCAGGGCCCTGGCCCTGCTCTGATTCCTGTCGCTTCTTCTCCGGAAAGGACTGAATGGAGAGATGGCCGGAGGGGTGGGGGGAAAGGAGGCGGGGATCCCCAAACAGTCGCTAACACGCCGGGAAAAACCAGACAAATGATGGCAGGAGGTGGGGTGGGGTGGGGGTGAGGGGCGCTTTCCCACCTGTAAGATGGGAGCATTCGGCAGGACGATTGCCGAGAGCCCCCCACCTTCAAGAGCCCGTGATGCCTTGAGGACAATAATTCAGGGATTGGGAGCAAACTCTAAACTGCGTCTCCCACCCCCAAGGTCTAATGTTTCCTGGAATTAACTCTGTCCTTGGACCACCCCGGTGACAGCAACCATCACTTCAGACAGGCCCTGCATTAACTGTAACACCTCGGATACCATTACATCCGAGGGGAGTTGGGGACAATTCTAAGGTCATGGGGACACTTCCCCGAGTCCTCTGACCATTGAGTTCAAGCAGCCCTGCCCCTGCCCGGCCCGCCTCCGTACCTCATAGTAGAGGTCCCCATGAATAGTCAGCTTCGGCTTGGTCTGCCACTTAAAGAAGGCGTCGTGCAGCTTCTGGTAGTCAATGTCGATCTTGCCCATCTTGGGCCGGACCTTCTCGCGCATCTTGGATTTCATGGTCTTCTGCTCTTCCTGCGGGACGCGCGGGGCTCACCGTGAACAGTCACCAGTGGGTTGGCCCTTCCCCACCCAGCCCCCACCACCGTGGTGGTTCCGACTCATGGTGACACTACACAGGGTCAGTTAGGGTTTCTCAGCCTCATCTATCTCCCTGGGAGCAGCTGGCTGGATTTGAGCCACCGACCTTGTGGCTAGCAACCCAACATGTCAATAAACCATGTTCGTCAAGGTGCCTGTCTCAAACGGCTGGCTCCCTTATGCCAAGAGACTGGGACGGCTGGTTGCTGCTGGAGGACTGGGGACTGGAGCGCAGCTGGGAGACAGCTCCCTGTGCTCTTGTACCCCTGCATGGCTGTGCCGCACACCATGTATTTAATATTTCATTAAACACTTCCAACAAGCCCGGTCACCAAGAATCTGTGGCACCGACTGGGACTGGCCCCCAGGGTTTTCGATGGCTAATTCTCTGGAAGCAGACTGCTAGGGCTGTTTTCCACAGCACCTCTAGGCGGACTCTCACTTCCAATTGACACAACTCGAGCACACCACCCAGGGACAGAGCGGCCTCAGCGGCAGAGAAACACACACAAGTGAGAGTCACCGGTAAGGACAGGAGGCCCGGGTGCCTAGCAGAGAGCCCGCTCTGAACACAGTGACGAGTCCTACCCCTCTGACGCCCCTGCCTGCTCCTGCCCACGCTGCCACGTGTCCCAGGCTGCGGGGAAGGCCACCGCGGCTACGGGCGGGCAGGCGGGCTTGCTCACCTTCTCCTGCAGGGCCTCTCGCATCTCCTGGATGCCCGTGCGCTTGATGAAGTCCGGCAGCTCGAAGGGCGGCTTCTCGATGCCCCGCTTGCCCTGCAGGTACTTGCGCTTGAAGCACCAGTGGCGCGGCACCGGCACAGAGTTGCGCGTCGCCTTGAGGTGCACCAGGAGCTTGGGGTCCTGAGCCGTCACGTCATGCATCTCCACGACATCGGGCCGTGCCACCAGCTGGAAAACATGCCACCAGACGCCTCCAGAGAAGACGCCCGACCTCCCAGCAAAGCCTCCCTTCTGCCCCCCCGGGGACCCATGCTCCTCCGATGCCTGCCACGCCACGGGACAGAACTTTGGGGTAGAGCTCCCCTTGGGGGCTGGTTTCAAGGCGCTGCCCTAGGGGTCTCCAGAGCCCCCAGCCGGGACCGCCCCCGCCTCACCTGCTTGAGCTCGGCCACCGTGAAGCGATTCATGCGACGCAGCTTCTTCTTGGACAGCTTGGGGGCCTCCGGCTTCTTCTCCTGGGGGAGAGCAGGCCTTGCTTGGAGGCGGCACTCCCATGGGCACCAGTTCCCCGCCAGCCCACAGCCCCGCGCTGGAGCCACCCCCGGGAAGGGCTCCGAGGACAGGGGGGGGGAGACCCCCACCTGCTCGTCGTCGCTGCTGTCGTCGTCGCTGTCCTTGGGCTCCTCCTCGAAGCCCTTCTTCTTGGGGACCATGGAGCTCTCCAGCTTGTCCGGCTTCTCGGGCTCCTTCTCCTTCTCCTTCTTCACGTCGTCCGTGAGCTGCAGGGGAGGCCGACATGAAGGCCTGTCCTCCCAGCCGGCCGGCAGGAGCATCGGGAGGGCACACGCGGGCGGGCAGCCCCGCGTACCTTGAAAGCCTCAAAAATCCTCTTGAAGAAGATGAAGTTGGGCTCATAAATCTCCGGCTCCTCAGTCACGTACTCGATTTCCACGTCGGCGCTGGCCGCGGCGGCAGCAGCAGGGACGTCCGATCCGCGGGGGCGGGTTGAATCTTTCTCCCGGTCCCCAGAGCTCTCAGACGACGTGCCCCGCACCCGCTGGGGCTTTTTCTTCTTCTTGCGGTTCCGACGCTTCCGGTTTTTCTGTCCCGCGAGGAAAGCCCACAGGGTCAGAGAATCCAAGCCCC